GCCCCTGACCTCCTCCTCGCTCTCCCTCTCCCTCCTCCCCCTCCTCCTCCTCCTCCTCCTCCTCCGCCTCCTCCTCCTCCTCCTCCTCCTTCCTCCTCCTCTCCTCCTCCTCCTCCTCCTCCTCCTCCTCTCCTCCTCCTCCTCCTCCTCTCTCTCCTCCTCCTGTTCCTGTTCCTCCTCCTCTCCCTCCTTCTTCTCCTCCTCCTCCTCCTCCTCCTCCTCCTCCTCCTTCCTCTCCTCCTCCTCCTCCTCCTCCTCCTCCTCCTCCTCCTCCTCCTCCTCCTACTCATCCTTCTCCTCCTCCTACTCATCACCTTCTCCTCCTCCTCCTCATCCTCCTCCTCCTCCTCTCCTCCTCCTCCTCCTCCTCCTCCTCCTCCTCCTCCTCATCCTCTTCCTCCTCCTCCTCCTCCTCCTCCTCCTCCTCTCCTCCTCCTTTTCTTCCTCCTTCCCAAATGTTTCCTCGTCCTCTTCCTCTTCTTCCCCCTCCTTTTCGTCCGCCTTTTCCTCCTCCGCCTCCTCATCATCCTCCTTATTTTCCTCCTCCTCCCATCATCATCATCCTCATCATCACCATCATCATCAGCAGCATCATCATCAGCAGCATCATGATCAGCATCATCGTCATCAGCATCAGCATCATCATCAGTATCATCAGAATCGTCGTGCACCTCATCATTTTCCTTTTGTTCCTCCTCCTCCTCCTCCTTTTCCTCCTCCTCCTTTTCCTCCTCCTCCTCTTCCTCCTCCTCCTCCCCCTCTTCCTCCTTGTCGAACAGTAGACATGTACGCCTCTCAGCTTGTTTAGTCTTCTAATGGTTCCCTATTGCCGACGCCGCTTTTGCTCTGGAGCACGGAAGCTGGCCAAGCTTCCGTGCCCGACTCATACGCGCCTTATACATACCGCCTTATTTATCCGTTTACGGAAGACTTCGTTTCCTTTGTTTCATCCTATTTACCAGTTCGTAGCGGAGCAGGTTCACCCCTGCTCCCACCACGGCCGCCATGTCCCGTCTCGCGTCGACTGCAGTGGTTTCCACCCTCCGCCGCCTTCGACTTTGGCCAATCGCCTTCTACATCTCCGCCTTCGTGCATTTCTTCCCCTTCGCCCTGGCAGGAGACGTTACCTAGGGTCCGTCGAGGCTGTACCTGCCCATCCGCCAGGACCCGCGACCAGGAGCGCTCACAACCAGAACTTCATCAAGGACAACACCACCTAGCTCTACAAGGACCACTCTGCGACCCATCCTGGACATGCGTGGACTGTGTCTGGGCAGCTCGCGGACCCCAAACTGTCAGTGCCCCCGCCCGTGGGGGCAGCTTCAGGTGTCAGACAGTTGCTCGACACAACGCTTACATTTGCGGTGTCTGAACAAGGCCCCGAGCTTTTGGAGACTGTGTCTCGAGAGCCCTGGGAGGAGCAAAGAGAGAAGAGGCATCCGGCCAATGCGTCGCTGGTGCCGAGCGGGGACGCAGGGGGGAGCACGGGAACTGCGTTTTCACCCCCCCAAGGCAATGCAGTGGAGGCATGACGACTGGGACGCGATCGCTCCGAGGCACCACACCTCGGGACCCGACCCTTTCGCCGCGCCAACTCAGACCCGCCAGCCGGGCAGGACGGGATCCCGATGCGCTTTCCTTTAGACGTTCGCGCACTTGGCGGCGATCAGCGCAGTGACCGCACAACGTACGAAGAGCATTCCCGTGACTGTGTCGCGGGATGTTCCGAGCACCGCGAGCACTACAGTGACACGACAGAGGCAGACGCCCAATACGCTGACGAGGAGGAACACATCCGTAGCAAGTATCTTCGGCGATTCATGCAACGCCGCTTGGGGACGCCTGGCCCCCAGCACCTCTACGACATGCGGAGGGAGCTACATCCTGGATGGGAGGCCATCGGAGTCGGCGCGCGCGCCATCGCAAGTTGCATTGCCTGCATGAGCGCACGCGGCGGCAGCGCTGACACGCGCCAACTCCGCCCCTGGGGGCCCGAGCGCCAGGCTCGCGTGCCCGACCAGAGATGGGCGCGCAAGGTGATGATCTGGTCAGTGGCGAAGTCAGACGTCAACGAGTTCCGCCAGGCGGTCTACGTCTCGTCGCGCCTCACCGGCATGGCGCGCGCGTGCGTGGACGAGCGGCCGCCGGCAACCCAGCGGCACCGATGACTTTCTCCGCGCGCAGCTTGGCCGAGGGATGGGGCGTACCAGGCGAGGAGGAGCGCGCTTCAGCAGCATTTTCCTTCCTGAATTGCAACCGACTACCGCGGGAGCGCATCGACTTCCTCCTAACGAGATTCGACATCCTCCGCAACCGAGCGCACCAGGCTGGTCTTTCCATGATCGGCTACGAGGAGCTCAGCAGCCTCGCGTCGCGCGCCGTTGGCGCGTCGAAAACTTAACTCACCATGTTCCTACAGCGCCACTACCTGGCCTACCCCACGAACGCTCAGCAGCTCACCCATATGATGGGCCAGCCAAGACGCCTTGGAAACATGAGAGGGATCGCCAGGCAACCTCGCCTCGGCGGCAACAGCACAAGTTCCTCGCAAGAACGCCCACGCAGGAGAAGAGCTGGGGCGGCACGGGTCTCGCTGCGCGGGGATCGGCACCAAGCCCCCTTCACCGGCCGAGGCCGCGTCTGGAGGCAGCGCCTCTAGCGCGGCACCGGCATGGGGGGCGCGCCCAGCAGCAGAGATCGACCCAGGCACCGACGCCGACACCGCCAGCTCATTCGGCGAGGAGAGCCGCCGACGGCCCCGAGCTACGCGACACTCCCTCGGAACAACGCGGCGCTCGCCTCCTCTGGGCCCACGAGCGCGCCAAAGCACGTCGGCGCAGCTGCAGCAACCGCGGGCCCACGCGCCACGCTCGGAGGGTCATCGAGCGGAAGGGCTAGGGGAGAGGCAACAGCTACCGCGCCTTCCAAGCCACCCTGGCCGAGACGACCTCCGGGAGACCTCCGCGGGCTTCGGGAAGGGCAAAGATAGGGGGAAGGGGGAGTTCAGGACCGCGCGCGTGGGTTCGGGCCGCCATGGCAACCCCATGGGCCCTGGCGGGGCGCGTCTCAATCGCCGCGAGCTGGACTCCGCCTCGCGCGCGACCGCCCCCGGCGTCGCCAAGAAGGGCGCGCTCTCTCCCTCAACGCCTACGCTCCAGCACCACCATCAGCACGATCATCCCCACCACTTGCTCTCCTGGGACAACAGGGGCCGCCGCTGCCGCCCGGGCAGCAGCCCAGGCCAGGGGCGCGCGCGGTCTGGATGACCAGGGGCGTCTCCGAGACCCCTCGGCCCGCGGCCGGGCGCGCTCATAATGGCGATTCATGGCAGAGCGTCGACGCTTGGAACGGTAGGCAGCTAATTCCGGCAGCGCCGGCACCGCGGCCAGCAGCACCAGCGGCCATTCCGAGTTCTTCGTCGGACGGCTCGCTGCAACTGATTGGCCGAAACCAGTGGCCAACTGGGCAGCGACGTCGTCGCCATCCTCGACCTCGCCACAGGATGCCGAACTACGACGACTAAGACAGAAGATGGCCGACCTCATGGGCCGTGCACAAGTCTCTGCAGCACCGACGGTTCCGGCGACTGCGTCAACGGGCCGCCCGGCAGCAGCAGGGGGAACACCACCAGCCGCACCAGCTTCAAGAGCACCAACATCGCCGCCAACTCCAGCAGCCTCAGCGGCACCACCACCGACAAAACCACAGTGGTGAACAGTGGGCGGCGCAGCCTCACTGGGACAAACCCAGGGGCGCGACTGGGCAGGCGACCTCAACACACGCGTCGCCGCGCCCCCAACCCGGCCTGCCGACGTGCAGCTGCCGCGCTGGGCATGCGCGCTTTCAGTCTCAGCCGTCGGCATCAGCGCGCCACGTCGGCCGGCCCCAGCCCCCGGGACGCCTCGGCCAGACCTCATGCGATCGTCGGGCAGCGTTTTCAGCTTCTCGCCCGCAGTGGACACGGCGGTGCCCGACGACTCCCAGCTGGACATGCGCGCGCCTTCCCACGGGCCGACGCCCCCGCGGTGGCAGGCTTCGTCGGGCACAGGCCCGAGTACATCAAACGACTCGCCGTTCAATTTGGCGAGCACTGACCTGCCAGGCGGCCGTCTGGGCGCCATTGTCGACGCTGGCGCTTGGACCAAACTCTGGGGATTGCGACTCGCTATGAATCTGGCGCGCAAGGCCCAGCATGCCAGACTGCATCCCCCCTACGAGAAGTTGTCGTCTCCGCTTCACGTTGCAGGGGTCGGCAATGGGCCACAGGCATTGCCCCATTGCAGCGACCTCCCGCGGCGGCGCGACCAGTCAGCACAGCATGCGCGCCCCAGCCGCGGAGAGCGCAGGAGCTGACCACCCTGACTTGTTAGGTCCGCAATCCATGCAGTCCAACAACGGGGCGATGGAGGCAGGCGCTGACCACGAGCGCCTCACGTTTCCCGGACCAGGCGGCCACGAGATCACATTGGGCCCCGGCACCATCCACTTCGACCTCGCGTCGGCGCCGCGCGGCCACTTGCGCGCCCCTGTCGACGCCTACGGCATGATCAAGTCTTACTCCGGGGGCCTGCCGCCCAAGCAGCTCGCGCCACTGGCGGCGGGCGATGACGCTCAGGATGCCGACGCCACCGACGGCCGCGAGTGCCAGAAGCTGATGGCCCAGCTCCTCAGCCCCAACGCACGGGCACCATCACGGTGCGCGCCTGGGGCCGCGGGCTGCGACCTCCACGCACGCGCAGACATCAGCATCGCGACCTGCGGTCGCGAATTGGCGTCGACGGGCATAGCGGCCCAAGCACCGCCAGGCACCGACCCACGCATCGCCCCCCGCTCGGGACTCGCCGGCAGAGGGATCGACGTCGCGGGCGGCGCGGTGGACCCCGACTTCCGCGGCGAGATCGAGGTGAGCATGTCCAACATTGGCCCGCGGACGCACTTGGTCGAGCAGGGCCATCGCATCGCCCAACTCATCCTGGAGCGCATCGCCAGCGATGCCGAGA